CAGCTGGAAATTTTAAATGAGTTGCAAATGTCTTATTACATGAGAGATGCTCGCCACAACAGGGCTTTTCGAGCCGATGTGGCAGAATTCTTGCAAGAGCTGGGACAACGATATCCTGGCATTGCAAAGGAGGTTGCTTCGGCAAGTGGAGATCCACTCACTCTGTATGGAGCTGGAGGAGGCTAAGGCTGACAGGCGAAGCAAGAGAAGTTTCACTGCCAAAAGGGGCCTTTGAGGCTGAAGCTGCAGAATTTCAGCATCGGCTGGCTCAAAGACATCCGGCATTGCATGACCTTGCTCCGCTGCATATACATAGACTCCACCTGCTTGTTCGTCGAGAATCTCCAAGAGATCACGACCAGCGTCGATTGGTGCGTTTCATGGCTATATACTGTGGAGGCCAAAAGTATTTCTCGCCAGCTCTAAGAGTGTCCATCTTTCAAAACTACAAATGCCTGACACACACACATACAAACATGCATGCACACACACACACATATATATATGCATACATATGTATACATATGTATATGACGTATATGTGTATACATTTATATGCCCACCCCGTACTGTGCTCCAGTGTTCCTTTTCACGATCCTGATCAGGGCAAGCCGTGGGCGACCCGAAATCTTAAACTCTAGGCCAGGTTTAACCTCAGAGCTCCGAAGCCTCCGATTCGAGGTCGTCTTGGCTGGTTTGGCTCGCAGTCCAGCACTTGGCTTTCAAGGGTTTAGGACTTCAAGGGCTACTGTAGATTCTAAAGAGTCTGTCAAACAGTTCTGGCACTTCACATCTTGCATCTTCGTGGGTTTGCGTCCGAAGCACACAGACGTCCTTTTTCCGCAAGGTTTTCCTCGTGGGCCGCCTTTATGTCATCGGCGTGGTTGGCGAGCAAGCCACGACACCCTCGCTTTGGGTGACGTGCTCAGTTCTTGGAATTCTCAGATCAGCTCACAGGCCCTGCGCTCTCAAACTCAACCCGGGTAGCAGCTGTTGGAGTGGATGGCTGTCGTCAATGGTTGGAAGTGGCGTAGCTGGGCTAGATGTTGTACCGATGCAGTCACAGTCCAGACTCTTCGACAAAGATGCCATGTGCTGCTTCCCCTGTGCTTGCACGAGGTGCGTCTTCCGGAGTTCTTCATTTCGTTTCTGGTTTTCGTGGAGTACTTAGGCCCGCATGGCTGGGGGAAACATTGGCATGCTTGGGAGGAGCTTCGGGGAGGGATGTTTGGTGGCCACAAATTCAAAGAAGGGATGTTTTTGCAGAGCGTATTTATTGCAGCGGCTGCTGCTGCTGCTGTCGCAGGACTTCAGACATGCTGACTTTTGACATGTTGCCTTGTTCCGACGCTGAAATGCCGGCCGAGTCTCCGCTACTTTGAGCGAAACAGGTTTCCTGCACCACCTCGTCCTCACGGTCTTTCGCCTAGCGGTGGCAGCAGTGTCGGAGGCACCCGGGCGGGAGGGAAAGGGTCGGCGGTCACGGATGCGGTCTAGGAAACGGCCGGTCAGTCTGTGGCCATGACCCGATCGTCGTGGTAGGATAAGTTGCAGCAGGGCCATGAGCTCGCGAGGCAGCATTTCTGAAAGCCATCGCCTTGAGATTCTTCTCGTAGTGTAGGAGTCTCTGCAAGCGAAGCTGTCATGGAAAGCTGATCTTGACGGCGCTGCTTGCTTCGGGACCACTTGTGCAGTGTGAGATCTCTCAGGACGGCTGCTTCTGCCTCCACATGAAGCGGCGCATCCCACGTGAAGCCAGCAACCGAAGGTGGGGTCCGGGGTCCAGCTAAGTCGTGGAATTGAAGGCTTGCCGTAGGACGCGTGGCTGGAATGTTCGGCTTGCATTTCATGCTGAGTGCTTGCGCGCTAGCCTGCTATTCCGGTGTTTCTGGCCTAATTCGGTCTGGCGCAAGCCTGCACTTGACATGCTTGCTGTGCCAAGCCAAGCCGAATATCCCAGCCGTCCTGCCGAAAGCATTTCACGACAAGAGCCTCCACGATCGCTCGTCAGGCTGCATCGGTGCATTCGGCTCGCTCATGTCGATTGGCTGCAGCTTGGGGTGGGGTGTAAGTGCATGGGACCTTGGGCTCGAAACTTGCAAAGGCCGCTGTATGGTGTTTTGCAGGAATCTCTTTGAGCGCTCCGGGTTGCGCAGATAATGCTAAACAAGTGGGCAACATGTTGGATTTTCAGACCCGCGGCCTGCCGAGAAGAGTGGCGATGATGGAGAAGGGCTCGGATAAACAAACATGTGCTTGCCGGGAGAAGACCCCAAGCTGTGCGTCCCACAGTCTTTGTGCCAAGGTGTTCTTCTTCTCGCATCAACTGCATACCTTACAGGCCGGATGCAGGGACTGGCTGTGGTTTCGAGGCTGTGCTTCGAGTGAGAGGTGGTATACCCTCAACCAGCGACCCGGTCCGAAAGAGCAACACTTGGTTCAGGCCTACATTGTGCTTGTCGCAAACCTGATGACTTCCCTGTTCCTCGCGAGCACGGACAAGGTGCAAGCACAACGGCAGCCCGCGGCCATTTGTGGTTGTCGGGTGTTGGAGAGGTATTGTGAATTGTGGCTGTCACCATTATGACATGCGGCACAGTTTGAAGTCTGCACATCCGCTCATCGTTGCCATGGAGAGGTCTTTTGCAACCTGAGAATACACACGTGGTGTGGGCCACGGTTCTGTGCAGACCGAAGCCGACTCATCCAGCCAGCAGTAAGAGTCATTCTGACAAGATACAGTGTCTATTTAGTGCCCGGACCTGCTGAGAGTGTCAGAGAGTCTAATTGTGGAATGTCTGCAGTTGTGGTAACACTGCACCGAGGTGGCTTCTCAACTCGGTTGCTGGAGACCCGAAGTACTTGGAGAGCGAGCTGCGATCTAAGATCTCCAGTCTGCCGCCTTTTCGCTGGGCGGGGCTTCCCATTCTATCTTGGGATCGTAGAGCATCCATGGACGTGAGCCTCAAGTGTGAAGCCGCATCAGAAGAAGCTCAGCTCAGCTCTGCTTGTCCATCCCAGGACGACGTGGCTGGAGGATGCGAACAGGCCATCGGGCCAGACGCATGCATCGTGCAGCCGACTGAAACCCCAGCGAGTTTGATCCTCTTCGGCAGTACGTCGCAAGAAACTCCTTGGGAGGCTCGGCCTATCGGACACGTCCTCTACGGTTACAGCCGGCGACACGTCCGAGGAAGCCAACGATCCTCGGACCATAGCAGTTTCATAATCCTCTGGCTGCGGTCAGTGCGTGCAAGGTCGCTAAAGCATTTGCAAAACTTATCCTCTGCATGAACAATCTAAGGACAGCGGCTCGTCCGAGGCATCTCAGCAGAATGCAGCAGAGCTTGTGGGTGAGGGGTGGTGAGGGGTCACGAAGGCTTCTGGACTACTGTAATGAGCATCGTGTCAGGTTGTGGAGGGACTGGTGTAGTCATGTCAGTCCAATGTGACCAGTCCCGTCAACATCTGAGAGCACAGCCTTACACCCAGCCCTCTCTGAAAGACCTGCAGCCCGCATACCCGTGTCTAAGTGGTTCTGGGTTGTTTCTTCAGGAGATAGGTTTGCCTTGGCTGTTTCGTTCGGGGCCGAGCACAGGACTTGATGCTTCGTGGGGTCCGCTTGCTTTTCGTGACGAGCGACACGCGGACCCCTTGCCACCTCCAATGTTGGCTCACCGCACCCATCTAAACCTAAACATGTGGCAGTGACCCATCCGTCGGTGGAAGTTTTGGCACGAAGGAAGGTGAGCAGGAGCCAAGTTGTTGCAACTGTTATTTGCCATTGTATAGAGTGTGACCGACAACTGTGAGGGCACAGTCAGGCGTGTTGATTTCCGTGAAGGGAACTCCACCCACTATCCTTGAGGATTGCTTTATTCAGATTCCTGCAGTATAGGCTAACAGCTAACGTTTTCGAGGCCATAGGTGGGATGGTTGTGAGCTGAAAAGTAGGTTAGGCTATTCATCTTCACAACCAGGCGTCCTGTTGGATGTCTCACATCACGAAGGGTTTGTCCAGGTGGGGTCCCACCGACGCCTGCTAACGGCGCCAGCGACGGTGCCATCAGGCCAGTGACTTGAAGGGTCTGTGCCGAGCTGGACACAGCTGTTGCGCATGGGACGGTGGTCAACAAACACAGTCTCTAGGCCCCTAGGCACTCTGGAGCCCTTGCGATCCCACAAAAGAGCAAAGATATCTAGTCTGTCGGCATCACCATGTATCGACTTTACACCAGGTCCGGAACGACCCCGTCCCGCGACCATCACGAGCCTCGGAGGTCGGCATGGCTATGAGCGAGACAGAGAGAGGAGTTTTGCGGATAAAGGTTAAAGGATACCCTGCAGCCGGTCTCGGATCTATGCTGGGAGGGAGGCGAACGGATCCGGTTGTCGCTGGCCATAAGGAAATGGCTGGCGAAGAAGGCAAGAAAGGAGGTTTGGAAGCTTGTCATGAGGAGATGGCAGGCATCGCAAGGAACCTTGCTAGGCCAGGAAAGGCGGTCAGCATTTGCGCATCCCACGAACAAAAGAGCGTGCGCATTTGCATCCTAGAAGTGTCACGGCGTCCATGGGTTGGAGGGTGGGTAGTTCGTACATGAGAAGACTAGAGACGACAAACGGGGATTATTGAATTCTTGCTAAGGGGCAGTGCATGTCGAGCCAGACAGCAGCAACCGTGGTGTAGCTTGTTTAAGAACGCTTGCACACTGTGGCTATGATCAAGCAGAGCGCTCTTGCCCGGACACCTCTGCCAGGAACTTGGCCAGACCCTCCCTTCGGGTCTACTTGGCGGGACCTAGGCACAATCCCTGCGCATTCGAGCAGAGATCACGGAAACAGCCTGCTTGAGCGCTCCAAGAGAATGCTTCTGAAGGTGCTGAAAGGCCTTCATTGGCATGACTGGTGTGGTTGTCTCATGCCGGGCACTCGTGCAACTGTGGTGCCCGAAGGATTCCTAAATCGTTTTTGTCAGTGCGTCTGTGAGTTTGGTAGCCGTTAGATTCAGCCTGGGCCTGCCACTTTGTCCCTGAGGCGTTTAGCGTTGGCTGAATTGCTTTTGCAAGTCAGTACAGATTTTGTTAATTTTTGGGTAGGTCTGATAGCCGGTCAGCTCGGCCACCTTGGCTTATACCATGCACTTACGCGTCTTTGTGCACTTTAACCGTAGACCAGACAGTCATCAGTCCCTGGCCAAGCCACGGCGCGCTTGGTGCACACAGACTTGCTCTACTCTGCAGCCTCTGCCAGCTGACCGTCTGCAGCAACAGGATGGCATGTGACTCTCTGCAAGTGTACAGACTGCATAGGAGTTTCCGCAGGGCCTCCAATGCCCAGGGGACTGGACCCTGCCGAAAGATTGTCAACAGCGATCCCATCAACTGTAGATGTGCGTGGTGCCAAAGCTACAAAGCTCCGCAAGCAGGTTTGTCTTCGTACGGGCTCGGAGTCCAACTTGCAAGCGCGGTGGCGTCATTTGCAGAGAAAGTTGCTGAGCCTCCGAAATCCCAAAGACTGAGAGGGTGCCTCCTTAGCCGGCTCGACGTGACTGGGCTTTCCGAGCCCTCTGACTCCAGGTTCTTCAAGGGGGCAGCCTCTCACCTATAGGCTCTTAGGCATTGAGGTTCTTGTCAGCGCCAAGCGCTACACTTTTTGAGGGGTGCCTGATCCCTCTCGGCCGGGCGGGCTGTGACTGAAGATCCTTAGAAGCTTTCAGCAGGTCTCAGCTCGTCCCGGGACCACCGGGGCATTTTCAGGCAACCCTAGGTGTTGATGACAACCTCTTGAGCACCTCAGCCCCCAATCGTGGCATGAGGAGGCGTGTGTTGTTTGCACACTAATTCGCGCAACCCATGCACACTTATTCTTGCACAGCACCGGCAAGCTCGGAGCGTCGGAGAGCGACTTTTCCAAACACTGGGCGAATCGTATGCGCAGGAGATGCGCCGAAGAGGTCGTGCCAGGGCATGCAAAAACCTTGATAGAAGATGCCCCGAGGTGACCGCGAATTGCCCAGTTTTACATTTAGACTGCATGTTTCACCTGGGTACGGCAAGATCCTTGCTCGCTCATAGGCTGGCATGGAAATCTTGCTGCTGATGCCTTCCTTCGGTGCGCCGGCATGACTTGACCTATCCGCATCGCAGACCAAAGTCCTGCCCAAGAGCAACACAAGCCCAGGACAAGCATCTCTCTCCCAAAGGGATGTATCTGCTGGACATTTCGACATGGACAACAGCCAAGTTCGCCTGGCGCAGAAGGCCTTCGGCGGCTTTTCCCAAGGATCGTTGCGCACCACGGATGTTTCTTCGAGGAGGCGCGAAGCATCACCAGGCACACTAAAGAGCCACAAACGGCCAAGAGCCACAGGCGCCAATCATTCTGGCTCTAGCTTCTTACTCGGAATAGATGAGCTAAGAGGAGTGCCCTGACTTTGAGGACGTAAGTATGTGTAAAGCTTCGGAAGCTTGGCCTGGTTCAGCACAGCGCAACCTCGAGTTTCATTGATTCGCCTCATGTCCACAACAGGACACGTGGTGCCCCCCACGCTCGCATTAGTTTTCCAGACCTTGAAAAGTAAGGCGGAAGATAAAAAGACTGTCGTCGATCGACAATCAGTTGTATCCGTTGTAGGTATACATAATATTTTTTTGGAAGGTCTCGATAAAAGAAGAAAATATTGAAGAAATACTATATTCTATATATGGGGGAGCGTTACTAGCTTCCCCTTCTTCTCTCCCATCCCTTCCCGTGAGGAAATTTCTCCGATACCTTACTCATGACTCTTGAATGAAAATTAGTCGAGCATAAACAGAACTCTCGCTGGTTTTTTGACAGTTTCTTTTTAGAGGCGGGAAATCGTAGTAATAGGTAGCTTGTCTGATTACTTCTGGGTTTTAGATGTATGAGATGACCCAAGAAGCCCAAGCAACTCAAATCATAGGCTTTTTCGCTTGAATACCATTCCGTAGTCCATGGTGAAAATAAAAGACAATTCGAATAAAAATACGTGACTAGATTTAGTTGTGTTTTGATATCTTCGACGAAAGGGTGTTTGCGGGTAGTTGTTCTAGGAATATCCCCCCGTGGTTTGGACACATAATTGGCTTTGGAAAGTAATCCAAAAGAAATTTCACGGGTGGTTGGTCTCGTATGATATGCTGGTGACCGTGTCTCTGAGGCCTTGTGGCTTGTTTGCTTGATACGATGCCAGGCGTTGTTTTATCTCCAAGATTTGAGTCCGATTCTGACGATGGGTGGGTTTAGAAAGCCTAGCATCGGTCATAATTCGTTGCACAACTCGTTCCAAAAAAACTAGCTAGCTCCTAGAATTTAGCCTGCCCACAGACGAACCTCTGGGAAAAAAACATTTTTAGGATCGCGTACGTGTTCTGGAACCCTGCTTTGGGGGTTAGTATACTTCTCGCCGCTGAATATGAGCGCTTGATTACGTTGCTATTAGATAGAAGGGCTCCACCAACTTGAACTCGGGGGAACAGTTTCCGATTTTCATCCTGCTACAACAAGCAAATTGCCTTGGGCAATGTTGGTATGGATCGGTATCGGACAAAGGGTATTTATATTATGATTATGTGTTTCTCTATGATAGACCTAGCTTGAAATATGGAAGGTGTTATTATAAGCAGCAATGATTCTATTTGATCTTTATAGCTAGGAAGAAGACTAATACGAGAGGCCGAGATATACATTAGTAATTTTGGATGTCTTCTCCGCTCTTAACTTAAGAAACGTTTCGGCGTAGGCGGGACAAGTTCGGTAAGCTTTGGCACGGAAGGATAGAAATCTTGGGTGGGCGTAAGGTGTCTGATGAATACGAGCATACGACTGATTTGTGTATGGATAGCCGGACTATCGCCTCCTAGCCGTGGCCGGCCGCTACAACACTGGTGAAATGGTCTTTGAAATATCTAGACGCGAGTCTTTCCTTACACCAGCAAGCATAGACCCGGCGGCACTACCCAAATTCGGCAGGGAGGACAAGATTCCGGTAGTGTTGGCTTATGTCAAGGAGTTGTAGGTGCGGCAAGCCAGAGCTAATTGGTAAACGGTAATTCTAGTTTTTATAATTTGATGATAAAATAAGCCTTATTTACTTTACCGCGGACTTCTATGTCGTCTAATTGCTTAGGCACTGGGACATGCTGGTTAAACACGGCTTTCGTATCTCTAATAACGATACCCCACTAATTGTATTGGGTTGGGTTACTTAGCACATGCTCCGATAAAATATTAAGAATATATTCGTGCCATTGAGATTTGCCTTTACACCTCTCGAAACGAGTGTCGATATGCTTATATTGA